TATGCTATGCTATGCATCCGAAGAAGTGAGGTTTTTACTCACGAAAGCTTATGCCCAAATAAATCTGTTAGTCTGTTTTTGTAGATACAGACTAACACGGCTACCCCCTGATACTTCCCACGTAGTAGCATGAGGCAAGAACCTGGTTTGAGCAGCCTGTAGTTCCATGTATGCTGCCAGCCCAGCCTACAGATTTAGCTGATGGAGGTCGTAGTTGCTGCCATGATGTAGTAGTCAGTGTTGGAAATTAGTGTAATGGACTCTTTCATTATTAGGAATTCTTGCAATATATAGTATGTATCATAGTTGTTAGCTAAATGCTCATATGAGCAAAACTGGGGAAGAAGGGAGGGAGAAACCTTTAGTATTGCCACACAGTGTTAGTGACTTGAAGGAGAGCTCTCTGTAGCTTGAAACCTTGTTTGTTTGTTTTTTCACAACAGAAGTTGGTTGGAATGAAAAATATTACCTCCCTCACACACATTTAGGGCAGATCCACACCATTCTGTTAAGGCCAGGAGTTTGTTTCCAAAATATTGGTTATATATATTTGAGGTCCTTATTAGGCACTGGAGGGGAAGCAATACTGGGCCTGGTTAGTTTTTCAGGTTTCCAAGATAATTTTGTAAGTGACATAACTTTACATTACTTGTTATAACACCAAAACTCCAAAATGCACAGATTTCATAAATGAACTCGTTTTAATTAAAAGATTACTAATAGATTGTTTTAAGTATCTGAAAATAAAATTTAGTATGGATATAGTATTTGTAAAACAGATCAGTGAGATTTACCAATTTAAGAATAAGAGTTTTACATCATTGCTGAAGCTGAACTGTGTTGACCTTCCAAGTGTGTGTGTGTGACTACTCGTACAGTGTTACAAAGTTGTTTGGTATAAGTATAAATGGAAATAGTTATTGCTGTGATGATATGGTTTGCGTCTTATCCAGTGTTCAGTGACAGTTGCCTGCTGTCAGCATGCTGGCGCTGTTGAACTGAAGACACTTGACCCTGAGCAATATTTTAAACACCTTTTGAATCTGAACCACTCAACTTGTTGGTGCTGAAGAAAACTCATGTCTTTTTCAGGCTTGTACTCGTCCATTAATATCTGTGTACTCCGAAAAGGGGGAGGTATCAGGCAAAAATGTCACCATGCCTGCTGTATTTAAAGCTCCTATTCGCCCTGATATCGTGAACTTCGTTCATACCAACTTGCGCAAGAACAATAGACAACCCTATGCTGTCAGTGAACTTGCAGGTATGATTTGTGTACAGAATTTGAATAGGTTCATTTAGATCAGGATTATTGTTTTATTACGTTAATATATAATACTTGCCAACTTACTGTATACATGCCACTTACATTATTTTAATTTTAGCTCTAATACTACTAGGACTTATTTACATAGTACCTTACAACCAGAAGGACTCAGAACTGCAGCTACCTCTGGTGTGGAACCAGAAATGAACACTGCAGAAAATATCTTAGCCGATTAGAACCACAAGGGGAATTTTTGCTAGGCGAAATCAGTTAACAACCCTGTAGTGCCATAAAACAATGGTTCTCAAGCTTTCCATATTTCTGTACCCCTTTCAGGAGTCTGAAGCCCAAGTCCCACTGCCCAGGGCTGAGGCATGTAACTTAGCTTTGCGGGGCTCTCTGGCATAGAGCTCCAGGTAATTGCCCTGCTTGCCACCCTCTAACACCAGCCCTGCACTTGCAACCCTCCTTAAATCTATCCCATGACGCTGCCACCTCCCTCCCTGAGGCTCAGGATTCCCAGGTTGGGAAACACTGATCTAGATGAGTTGATGTATTCCCCATGGATGCGTGTACCCCTGATTGAGAACCGCTGCCATAGAATACCAGATTGCCATTGGTGGTTAGGTCATCATCTCAGTTTTACATTCTATTTAAGAGACAACATACTTGATCATGGTCTGATACAGGGAGGGCTGATGCTACAAGTTTTCCTCTGAAGTTTCCCATCCAAGTACTTAAACAGGCATAAGGTGTGAAAATCTGTATGTTTACAGTGTCCATCTTAAAGTTAAGTAAACTTTGTAATTTACATTCACATTTTGATAGTGTAATGGTATAGTCCCAGTTATTGTCTTTGTCCAAATTTGGGTTCAAGCTTCAAAATCTGTCTTAATTTAACTACATAGAAATGATGAGATTCCACTTCATTGGTCCGTGTTTCTGAACTATATGATATCAGTGGAAGTTCTGATTCTCTTGAATTCTTTATTCCTATGACTTAGAAAAAATAGATTGTTTCATTTTCTCTGGACTTTCACTGATGAACTAAAAAAAATTTTGTTTCAGGACATCAGACCAGTGCTGAATCTTGGGGTACTGGAAGAGCTGTTGCTCGTATTCCCCGAGTGCGAGGTGGTGGAACTCATCGCTCTGGCCAAGGTGCTTTTGGAAATGTATCCTTTTGATTTTGATTGTAACTATTGAGTCGGTCTAAACTTGAACTTTTTGAGGGACGGGGGGAGCAGAAATCTTCTGATTTAATTACCAGGATTATCTAAATGCTAAATGTGAAGATTCTTCCTCTTTCTACATGTACTGTAGATTGGACTGAATCATCAAAAGTTCAAAAGTCTATAGTAATATGAGGGCTACAGATCCACTTGTCTGGATTCAAATGTATTTTAATGTACAAAACAATTAACTGATAACCATGAGGAATCTGTTAGTCTTTAAAGTGCCACTGGACTCCTCGTTGTTATCATGAGGAAAGATCTTTAGTTCTTTTAATTTTTGAGATCGACATTGCTGTCTGTTTAGCTTGCCATGATGTCGTAATTTGCGTCTTACTCTGTATTCAGTGACAGTTGCCTGCTGTCAGTGAGCTGGTACAGATGGTTGACGAACAGCTAATGCTGAGCAAGGCTTTAAAAGGTCTTGTTCTGTAAAAACATTTGAAAAGTTTTATTCTTAACTATGGATGCATAGATGTGTCGCGGAGGCCGTATGTTTGCCC